GCCTTCACCACTACCCTACTTTCATATTTTTTTATAGGCAAAGGGACATGTGGGTCGATCGACCTTGGTTGTTGGGTCAGGGACGATATCAAGAGTCGGGATCAAGCGGGCGAATTGGAAAGAACGGCTAAGATCAAGAGAAGCGAAGTCGAAGTGACAAACCATGGGAGCCGTTGGATCGTGGTCGACATCAACGACTGAGATTAGATAGACCAGCTAAAGATACAAGAAGATGTCAAGAACCTAACCGTTGGATTAAAGGTGAATTGAACGAATATTATTCATGACGCATTTAATGGGTATACTGTACGGTGCTAGTGTGAATCGCAGAGCGATGAAAGTGTTGGAAGTTTAAAGAGACATCGATAGATTGAGTTGGAGCCGTCGGACGGCCCGGTGAAAACTAGACTTGGAGGTACAATCGGTTGTGTGATTAACCAAAAGACAGGGCATGCGAGCTCGACATACGCAACATTCGACATTGACGTGGTTTGGACCAGTTGCACGATTAGAATCTAATAAGACAGATTAATGGATAAGAATGAATATTATCAGGATAAGGACCACGCATGGATAAGGCCACGTGGCCTAACATAATTGGGTAGTTCAAGAGTACGGGCGGGTTGTTCGGGCAGTCCGAGTAACCCACTCGGATAGTCTTGGGCAACAAGGTAACACTCCCTATAAAATAGAGTGAGTTATGCCTTCGAGAACATTACATACTCTTTGTACACTTGCATATTATTCATCATTTTCTACATTTTGCTAAGTATCAGAGACTCTTCACCGATAAATTCCTCCGACGTCGAGTTTTTTGTAGATCTTGAAGGATGATCTTCCGGCGAGGAATCCAGATCAAGTCGAAACCGAGCCGGTCGAAGGTCATTTCATACGACATGTAAAGTAAAAAATAATATCTGGAGTTGTAGTGGTTGTTGATCATAAAAATGATGTAATATATGAAATAATAAGCATGCTATGTGTGTAATTATATTAAAAGTTTTATCATCATCTATAGTAGTCTATATTAATGCAGCATAATTAGTTAATTAATAAAACTACACATTATACCGTTGCGTTTCATTTGAGTTCAAACTTATCACATTCTATTTACTCATTTTTAGCTATGTGATATTAGATGAAATTCATATAATTTAGTTGTTTTGTGGGTTCAATAGGAAACAAAATTACTTGTTTTAGTACTTATCACATGTACCTTTAATGTCACAATATCAAAGTTAAGAGCATGTATTGTTCAAACATTAAAGGTTGTTGTTAGGTTGATATAATTGTTAAACATTCATACTTTTTGAGCAAATATTACTTTCCACCTGAAAAGTTATACTTTAAAAAACAATATAAACAAACGTATAATATTTAATAGCATAACTATGCATTTTTATTGAAAAATATAACATGTCAACATGTCTAATGACTAGGTTGCTTCACATAAGAATTTGTAATGTTTAAAGAATTTTTTTGTTGAGACAACTAGACATGGCCACACGCCGCCTAGCCCGCCGACCCGGCACACACCAGCCTGGTCAAGCCCGTTGACCACAGGTCCGGGTCTGGCTCGAATTTTAATCGAGCCGGTCCAAAACCTTGTTTTCTCTACCTCAACCCGAGAAAAACCACATATTTTGTATATTTTTTTTATTTTTTTTATCAGACCGAGATTCTGGTCGAGTCGGTCCCACATGTACCTAGCATGAGCCTAGGTCTGTGCCAGTTCTGAGACCATGATTCCAAGTCGGTCGGCCTATCGAGCCTGGCCGACCAAGGTTTTGGCCACCGCTAGAGACAACAATGACATCATTATTACTAATTATGTTTATATATAAATAAGTTTTTTAACATTTAAAATAATATTATGAACTCTATTAGCACTTTTTTTTTTTTCCCACTTATTGCATAATTTTGTAATCCTACATATTTTATTGAACAAACAATTTTTTTTTTTTTTATCAATAACCCATCTACATATTGATGTTGTACTAGTATGAAAATAAGAGAAATATAGTTAGCATAAGATAGATGATCTGACGGTTAAACCATGGGACGATTCCGTAACAGGACCATAATATTTTCTTTGATGATTCCGTAACGGGACCATAACATTTCCTCTTAAAATATATGCACAATCTTCTCACAACGGTTGTACATGTCACTTCATTCTCAACTCCGCGTTGAAAAAAGTAAAAATAAATAAAAAGCTCCGTGTGTAATACCGAATTGGCCCATTGCTCTCTCCTAATCCTCTTCATCCTATTCGGCCCCCACTGTGTTTGCAATCCCTCGTGAGCTAAGGTACAACACAACTCACCAAGGTACAACACAACTCACCAAAGACCCTCTCTCTCTCTCCTCTCTCTCCTCATTTTCATCCTATACCCAACAAACCCTCCGTTCTCTGTATTTGTGGCTTTCGTTCTGTACACAATACTATTTTCATTTCTTTTTGTTTCGTTTTGTACAGCGATTCGGAGGAGTTTGAATTAGGTTTATGGTAATTGAGGTTGGATTTGGGCCGTTGATCTGATGGAACGGATAGTGGGTGGTAAATTCAAGCTCGGCCGTAAGATCGGCAGTGGATCATTTGGTGAAATCTTTCTCGGTGAGTTCTTCTCTGTTCGAATGCGTACAGGGCTCTCGTCTGTTTTGTGTTCCTTTTCTATTAGCCTTGCTGATTTGGTCACTATCTTTGTCGCGCAGCTACGCATATGGATACTTTTGAAATTGTAGCAGTGAAGATTGTAAGTTTTCCCTTCCATGTCAATTATGTTGTGTTATGTGGCTAATAGCTAGAGATTAAGTGAAGTGGATGGGAAATCTGCGTGCACCTGTATGTGGTGCACATTGGTTTTCTCAAGTTTGGGAATTTGTAATTACTACTCAATGCACCAGGGTTCATTTTCTTTGAGTTCAAATGTTTGAGTAAGCCTTTGCTTGTTCGTCTTGCTTAGGATGATTTCGAGGTTAATTGTTTTGAAACAATGCCCTTGTGCAATACTGAAAGCTGGGAACTTTTGTGAATGTTAGTCTGTGAGTGTTAATTATTTTATTTATTTTTTTTTTTTTTTCTTTTTTAACTGTATTCGGTTGAATTGAAATATGGAAAATTGGTTGTTTGGCTCATATGTGCTAAAAAATTGTAGGATATGAATATGGTCGAAGACAATGTGCAATTACCTGCTAACCTCATATTCCTTGGTGTCCTTTTGTTTTCCTTTTTGTTATTTCTTTGCAGGAAAACAGTAAAACAAAGCACCCACAACTTCTTTATGAGGCCAAGTTATACAACATTCTTCAAGGAGGAAGTATGTAGTAATGCATTCAAGAATGATTTAGAGTCGTGGTTTGTATATATTAGCTATGCATGAGTTATGTGCATGATTATGGATTACCTTTCATATCCTGTTCCCTCTAATTGGAACTAAGTTGCTCATATTAAGTTTTTCATTACTTTTGTTAAGTTAATTGGCTGTATCTCTAGTATGGTTGTTTGGTGTTACTGTTAAAGACCTTTGTGTAGCACCCCGTCTTTGACAATGTCTAAAATTTGATATAATTTTAAGCTTGAAGTATTATTTACGACTCCTAAATGTTATCACTTTACTGTCATAAATATTACGATCCGATGAAAATTAGGATCTCATTTGTTGCATCAAGATATAGAACATCTTAAAGATTTTAAGATATCAGTTTAGGTTGATGAGTGAATGTTACCTCAAAATATTTTCTTATTTGGAAAATGTATACAAGTCAAAATGATGTAATGAATGAATACAAACTTACAAAGACGTTAAATTTGTTCTTACTTGTATCCTTGTGCATTCTGGTCATGCTTTGTATTCGATAACTATCGGCCATAACTCATAATAGTGATAGGATTATGTCTATGGACTATTTATTTATGTTGATACAACCGGGCTTGTTTAATATTTGTCATCCATCAGGTGGTATACCCAGTATAAAATGGTCTGGTGTCAATGGGGATGACAATGTACTTGTCCTTGACTTGCTGGGACCGAGTCTTGAGGACCTTTTCGTGTACTGTGGAAGAACGTTCTCATTAAAAACTGTATTGATGTTGGCAGATCAAATGGTAAGTTCATACATGCACAGATTGATTCTGTTTTTTTTTTTTTCCTGTCACTCGTTCCACCACATGGACATTGTTTTGATCTTCAATGCGTGTTTGTTTCCAGATAACAAGAATAGAGTTTGTGCATTCCAAAGGGTTTCTGCATCGAGATATTAAACCAGATAACTTTCTCATGGGCCTTGGTCGAAAAGCGAATCAGGTAATGACATTTGTTCTATCATCTATCCTGTGTTGTTCCTACTCAATAGATTCTCTCTCCTCACACCTTGTTCTCTTTTGCAACTTTTAGGTTTACATTATCGATTTCGGTCTGGCAAAAAGGTATCGGGATTCATCAACAAACCGACATATTCCTTACAGGTGTTCTTCTGCTCCTGTTTGTAACTGCAAGGCTAATTAAGTTTCAGAAAATCTACGTTATAGCAATGTTATTATTGTTTTATGCTCTCATTTATTTGGTTCTTGACTTAAAAAACAAACTGTATTACCGTATGGTGACCATTGCTTAACTATCTGCCATTAGAAATTTCTGAAGGATGCGGTGCCACAGCTCTCTGTGGCCACCACTATGGCAGGATTTCCGCCTGCCGCCATTTTCGGCCATCAACGTTGATAACACTAGAAATAAAGTATTTCGCATTGCTCCTGAAATTCTCCCTTTTCTTTTGGTTGTCTTTCCATTTGCCGTCCAGTGAAGAGTCCATGGTTCACCTTGTTTCTTCTAGGGTACGCCTTACATTGGGAGGCGGATTTTGACTTTGTTTTCTTAACATCATTAACCACTTGTGATTTCGTTGCTAGGTGATTGATATAGTTTCTACTTATTTATTCGGTTTTTTCCTTTTGGCAGCTGTCCGTTAGAAATATATGATTATAATTACATGCTTTCGTTGCCTTTCATGAGATAAGCCGTCATACACTAGGATAGTTGCCTTGGCATGGCCTCCGCACAAGTAACTATATATTATGAATATTAGACAAGCTCTGAGTCTTTGCTTGAGGAACATGTCTCCCTACTTTTGGCTGCAATGATTCACTTTGTTTCTTCTTTTCTTTTTCCTTTTCTTTTTTTTTTCCTGATTGCTTTGCTGTACCTTTGACTTGAAAGGGAGAATAAAAATTTGACAGGAACTGCACGCTATGCAAGTTGTAATACCCATCTTGGGATCGGTAAGAGAAGACTTTTCTTTTCCTCTTGTTTTATATATGTATATATATATATATATATATATATATAAGGATGTTATTTTTGGTGTTTTAGTTTTCATGATAGGTATCAACTTCTCTATTCTCTTTTCATTTTGTAGAGCAAAGCCGGAGAGATGATTTAGAATCCCTTGGATACGTACTTCTGTACTTCCTGAGAGGAAGGTCTGCTAATCCTCTCCTATCTTAGTTTACTTCATTTATCTCTATATTTCATGAACAATAATTGCTTTTACATCTCTGACCAACTGTAAGTCTGCATGTAGCCTCCCATGGCAGGGATTAAAAGCTGCCACAAAGAAGCAGAAGTATGACAAGATTTGTGAGAAAAAATTATCGACTCCTATTGAGGTGGATATATATATGGACTTACCTCTTGAATTTCTTCCAGTACTCTTGAATTATTTCTTTATCAATATTTTATTTATTTTTCCACCTGAAGGTGCTGTGCAAGTCCCATCCTGTGGAGTTTGCTTCGTACTTCCACTATTGCCATTCGTTGACATTTGATCAACGACCTGACTACGGATTTCTGAAACGTTTATTTCGTGAACTGTTTGCTCGTGAAGGTGAGATCAGTGCAAAATCTGCTTCATTTGGGGGACATCAGTTATTTTGGATAATTTCACGAACCATGATGTCTTAAATGGAGTGCTTTGACCTAGTCTTGTGCTCTTTTCATAAGGATGGGTATTTGCTGCCTCTTGCAGGATATGAGTTTGATTACGTATTTGATTGGACTATTCTGAAGTATCAGCAAGCACAAATAAATAAAACACAAAAACGGGTACCAGTAATTTATATTGTTATCTCATTTCGCTTTCTTGTGCCCTAGCTTACTTTTTCTTTCTCAAGTATATTTTCAGCATAGTATCATATACATCATTTCCATTTTTCTTTTGCATAACTAGTGGATTTTCGCTAATTGATTACAAGTTTGACTTCGAACTTTTCACAGCCAATTGCTGGAGAGAGCAGTCAAGCAGCTCCTATGGTTGTGGAAAAGCATACAGGTATTTTATGCTCATTCCCTTTTAGTTAGGGAGTATCAATGAGAAATCACAACTTTAATGATCAATAATTTGGTTTAAAGTATCTTGAAGTTTGTTTATGGGGGTAAATACAATCTCTTAAGTTGATTCAAGATTAAGATCATTTTGCAGAGATTGGCTCAATACAATATTATAAGTTACTCGCTCAATGGGATGGAATTCATACATAATATTAACCTCAAATAACTAGGTCCTAGCAGGAGCCAAGCTGTGGACAAACTTGAAGTCGAATCCATTAATAAAGACATGAATTAGAAACACAAGATTAGAGTACAAATGCATTTGATATAAAGAAACAAATAAAAAATAACTTCTACAGTCATGTTTATAAAGATATTTCTGAAATTTGTACTTGTTTGATGTGCACAGGGAATAATGCACCGATCTCAGATGATTTGGCTGAACGCATGAGGTCAAACAACGCTGCCGCCAGCTCTGGTGTTCGCTTTCAATTTAAATCTCCAACCAATCGAAACTTCACCCATGGGAATGTTCTCGACAAAAATGTATGTAATTAGTTGGAAAGGTGGAACAACGCATCATGTTTGCATTTTTTTTTCTGCTTTCATCGTTTTAACAAATATCAGGCAATATTCGACAAAGGTCTATACTACTTTTGTTTGTCTATTCTTAGGTCTAATGATACACACGTTTGTTGTGTGCTTTTCTTAAAAAAAAAAATATCTTATTGGATTTAAATATTTGTACGTGCTATATTGTCTGTAGGTTCTGAGCAATGAACACGTGCCGTCTACTTCATTCTCTCCAGCTGCTGTGGGGAAAGTAAATTCCTCAAAACCTATGTTATCTACTGAAGCAAATGCGAGTCATGGGAATGGTGACAACTCTGGTCCTTCAAGTAGTTGGATTTCTTCCCTACGCCGCATTTCCTCATCCAAGTAGTTGATATGTGGAGATAAATGTGGTTTGTTCAATGTCCCTCTACTTATCTTTTAGATTTTTACGCATCAGCTGTTTAAAATATTCGATAAAATTATTCGCAAATATCATATAATTAGGAAAAACGTGTCTAATCTGTGTTTCAGTTATTCTTTATGGGAGCTAAGAATCTTCCATCAGCTGTTCCGTTAATGCTAACTAACCATCACCAGTATTTTGTCTGCTTGCTTATATTGGTCTTTATTAGATGCTACACTTGTTTTTTTTTTTTATTTAAATACATTATCAAATGTTGACCTCTCATTCGTCTACCTTTAGAATGTTTTGATGCTATTGCTACATTTTTCAGATTTAATGATTTGCAACGAGGTATGCTGCAATGGTGGGAGCAGCAAATGTTGTTTCACGATGATACTGCTCTGGTCAAAGCTAAAACCGAGCGGGACGAGTCTATTAATTTTTCGGATACTGGTAACAAAAATGATTCAAGGAATCAGATCCTCATGCTCCATCTGTTGGATGATTTTTATCAAAATTTGTGTGTGTATAGTATACAAATGTTAAAGGCTTTTTCACAGCACTCTCTCTCCAGATGCTTTTGTGGTTTGTGTTAAACTAAAAAGGAAGTTCATGTATCTTGGCCTGTAAATCTTCTCTTCTTTTTTCTATTACTCTTCCCAAAATTATTGTTTTCCTCGTATTAGTAATGCACGGTTTTGTGCGTGAATTCGTCGTGAGTTCTTTGTATGAATTTAAGCATTTTGCTCAAATTGAACCAAAGTTTCATATTTTAGGGTTGTTCTGTGAGGAATTTGGATTTGCATCCTTGCTTTCATAATTCATCTTTTTCGTATTTATTTATTAATTTTTATAAAAATTAAAAATAAATGGAAAGCTTGATAGCCCGTTCTAATTCATAACAAAAGGGCATATAAATATTGGTAGTGTCTGATTATGCAAACATTATAATTGCTCGTCAAACGAGTTTGATTGAGCAAACAATAAGTGAAATTCATTTTGGTGCATTTAATGCTAATTTATTCTCATTTTAATCAGGATTACCATATGGTGAAAAAACTGTGGAACTTCAAATCGTACTCCCAAGCGCAGTGTAGACCCATTTTTCAGTTGCGAGGGAGAGCACAAATGCGGAGGAAATTTGAAAACATAATGCGGTTTAATTGTGGGGAAGACTTTTTCTATTATAGAATAGGGAGATTAGAAAATTTGAAAACATAATGTAGTAGATTAGAGATTAGAGTAGTCATGGCTACGGGCTGGCCCGGCCTCTCGGTTCGACTTGAATTGGCTTGGAACCGGTCCATGGTCAACGGGCCCGGACCCGAGCCCGTAGTTTGATCGGGCTGGTTCCAGGGCTTTTGTTTACTTTTTTTTTATCTGTCGAGCTACGTCGGGCTAGGCCAAAACCGGCCCTGGGGACGGCCCGCCGTTTTTCCATTTCTTTATTTTTTATTTTTTGGATCGGGCTAGGATGCTAGAACGAAACTGTTAGTAGGCCTTTGATTTGAGTCGTCGAACGTCTTTTTACCGTTGAACATCCAACGGTCTTTTTTTTTTTTTTTTT